CATGAGCTTTAGAAAATGGCAGCACACTCTATACAGACTTCCAGATCTTGCTTCATTTTTTAAAAAATCAACATTACGTCTCTAAGATTCACTCCCAGTATTACGTGAACCTTTGGTTCTTACATTCACTGTTGTACTATGTGAACACAGAATCACCATTGTTTAGTCACGCTCACACGGATGACAGTGGAGTGTTTTGGATTGGTTAGGGCAATGGGCTCACAAGTGTTTATTATATCATTTTACTTTTATAACATCTGTTATACCAAATGGGATATTTAAAAGGCAACATTCTCTAAGGTATTTACAGTGAAGTAAGATTATATTAAGTGCAGCTTTTACAGCAGATTGGGTTTTGATGTGGGGAAAGCTGTGTCCCTGCGGAGGCTACACACAGGTGAGAAGCGAGAACACAATTACGCTGATTTTGGAGACGTTGCTGCTACCGCTCGGGCAGCCTCTTCAGCCAGGCCTTTACAGTCATCTCACCAGTAGGTGGCGCCCCAGGACTGCTGGTTGTCAATTAATCCCAGCCATGGAGCCTGACTTCATTATTGCACTCGCAGCCCCTGGAAAGGCACGTTTTCGGCAGAATTAAAGGAAAGGTCAGTCATATAATTACCAGGAAAAAACAACCCTCTGTAAAGATAACTTCAATCCATTTATTTAGCATTCGGCGGTTTCTTGACTAGGGTAACAATCATTCGTGCGTTTTTATGTGCGTTAGTCATTTACCACATTCCTGATGTGAACTGAGCAGCCCCGAGTCAGATGCTCTGATAGAGCCTGGTTTTTCCCGCTCTGTCCCACTTAGCGCCTCCGTCTGCACACGGAGTTGACTTCTGAATTTCTCCCTGGGTCACCTTGTATGCTTGGTGTTGTCTGAGCCCGGACTGGCTTCCTGTTCTGAAATAAAAAGCCTATTTCCTGGAGATTATTTGGAATAAGAAGAACACCCAGGGGCATTCGGCCTGCAGCAGGAAGATGTCCTGGGTGATTTCTTATCTCAGTTCCAGCTGGGTCACCCGCATTCCTTCCTGTCCCTCCCACCCACCAGTACCACTCCGTTTCTTCCCCATCGTTCTCTCTCACCCTGGTTCTTCATGAAGGACTTTCTCAGCCACAGATGGGTCTGAACTCCTCTGCTACTCCCACTGTCATTTTTGTCACAAATAAGTGGCATGTCAATATTCACGTTCGTTTCCGTCAATGCCACAATCACCATCAGCGACAACAACGAGATGTATGGGGAGATTTCGCACCCTCCACAAAAAAACACATCTTTTTAGCTCCTAGGGGTTCAAACTTGTATGAAATTTCAAATTATGTTAAGAAGGCTGGAAAGGCTTTGATGAATTTTTTGTGACAAAATATACATAAAATAAAACGTGTCATTTTAACCATCGGGTACATTCACATTGCTGTGCAGCGATCCCCACCGTCCGTCCCCAGAACTGGTCCCTCTTCCCAAAATGAAACTCTGTCCCTATGAAATATTAATTCCCCCTCCTCTGTCCCCCCAGCCCTGGCACCCATCATTCTACTTTCTGCTTCTATAAAGTAGATTCTTTAGGTAACTCATAGAAGTGGAACATACAGTGTTTGTCTTTTCATAACTGGCTTGTTTCACCTAACGTAATGTCTTCAAGGTTTGCTTTGATGCATTCTTTGTATTCGCATTTATGGATAACACATGTATCCTAGAGCTGTTGCTGAAGGCTTGACATGCCTTGTTTTGTTTAACAAATTGTGAGGTAGGCCCTTGGGAGTTGAGACACACAGAGGAAAGACTACGTGCAGGCCTGGTCTGGACCCCGCTGCTCGTCTTCTCTCAGCCACACTGGCCTCTGGGCTCCTCCCTGGAGCCCTTCATTTCGCCCTGGGCTCAGTCCTCAGTGAAGGAAAGCCTTCTGATAACAGCAAGATTATAGGATTTCCGACTTTCAATTTGCCTCAAATCATGAATGTCTATGTAGGAAACTGAGTTGTCTTTCTGGTATCTTATTGAGAAAACGCTCCTGCATGGGCTCATTCATGGAAAGCTAACAGCTACAGCTGAAGGGAGCAGGCACATGAAATGTTTCAACTAAAAAATGAAATAAAAATTGAGCAATGCCTATTTAAGAATTTTCTGCATGTGCTGCTAGAACTCTCTTAAAAGAAAAATTATAATAAGGTCAACTATAACATTCAGCAATTAGAACATAAGAACCATATATTATATCGTTAAACACAAATTATGAGACTACATTTATATATAGACTAACCTTTAAAAAACTAGCTTTTGGAATATATAATTAGTATACCATACAGTTTACCTATTTCTCATATGCAATTCAGTAACTCAGCTTTATGTTTGGATGAAAATTGCCTTACCTCCGACCACCTTTCATTACTTGATTTAACTGGTGAGAGTCCGAGAGGAAAGGTGAGCGCCAGGGAGCTTCTGAGGCGTGGGCTGCTGTATTAGCCCCGTGTTAGTAATTTGGGTTCTCTGTCAGAGTTCTTTCTATATCCATGACTATTTAATTCGTTAACCTTGGTATCTTGAAGTTTCACATGTTGTAGGTGTTTGGGGGTTCCATTATTATACAGGGTTCAGCACAAATAATGCCCCTTTTTATTACAAAATCTTTTATTACAAAATCATAAGCATGTACTTCTATAACATAACAATATCTCACTCAAACACACCATATGACATTTTAGGTGAAATGTTCAAATTAAAACTATAAATTATTACACTCGTATTATTACCTTACCAACCACAGTGAAGCAGGCCTTACTTCTGCTGTACCCTGTATTATAGACAAAATGAAATAAAAGGAGGTTAGAGGAGGAGGTTGGGAGGGGGTGGAAAAGGTGAAGGGATGGAGAAAACAAACAAGCAAATAAGCAAAACCCACAGACACACACAGTATGGTGATCACCGGAGGGAAATGGGGGAGGGGCCAAGTGGAAGAGGGTAGAGTTGGGATAAATGGGGATGGAAGGAGACTTGATTTTAGGTGGGGAACACACATACAGATGATGTGTTACAGAATTCTACACTTGAAACCTCTGTAATTTTATTGTCTAATGTCACCCCAGTAAATTCAATAAAGTTTAAAAAAAAATAAAACAAAAGGAGGTTAGCTTTCCAGTCTGTGCCAGAAATGCGGTGAGGCAGCCCTTCCCACCAGGTGTATCAGCATTTCTAGGCATGTGAGCCTGAGTGCGTTCCACCTGCAAATGCTGATGTCTATCTCCCTCTGCTCTCAGAGGAGCTGACAGCTCCCTGGGCTCCACCCCCGGCAGGAGCTCCTGTGAGGGCAAGGAGACCCTTGGTGCACAGAGATAAGAGGAAAAGGTAAGGGGTCAGGCAAATAGGTGGGGGAACAAATGCAGTGGAGCCAGGAGCCCCTCTTCCTCAGTGTCTGCTCCATCTTTTTCCCAGTCACCCAGAGCCTAGGAATCAGGCTGGGGAGCTGGGTGGGCCGTAGTGGGGCCCTAGATGGACCACACCTTCCCTTTCCCCAGGGCGCACTCTGACACTGCAGGCACTGCCCAGGTCAGCTCCAGGACGAACAGAGACTGAGGGCAGTAGGGGTGGGGGGGGAGGGGACAAAGAGGAGGACTGGGCTGTTACCTGGGTCTGTGGCAGAACCTCAGGGGTGAGGGAAAGTCCACGTGATCTGGTGGTGGAATAGGAAAAAGAAAATTCTGTGGTTTGTCCAATGGAGAGACTGTAATAGAAAATGTTATATTAGTTATATTAGCCAACACCCCGGTAGTGCTATGGAAAGGAGCCATTTTGAGCACTTTAGTATAGTAATTTATTTAACCTTTGCAGAAATCTCAGGAAGCAAATGCTATTATGATCTCCATTTTACAGACAAGGAAACTCGGGTACAGAAAAGTTCACTAACTTGCCAGGTGTCAGATGGTAGGTGGCAGAGCAGGTCAGAGCCCTGAAGCAGCATGCGCTCCGCAGGGTCCTACGTGTTTTTACCTGCATGTAGGTTGTGATATGTAAGTGTTAATCTGCTATAGCTTCCTTCATGATGAAGACCAGATCAGTAATGGTGGTACTTCTGGCACCAGATTTTCTCCTTTGAACAGCAAATTTCATCGGTTTCTTTTCAAGGGATGAGGTCCATCCAGCAGTCATAACCTCGGCCCAGGTAGTCTGGGGGAGACCTGGGCTGGGCCACATCGACAGAGTTAGGAGAAAGTCTGTAGCTGTGACAGGTTGTCCCAGGCACTACTGTCTCTCACAGGTCACAGGGACAAAAGCGAGTGCTGTCTTCATGTTAACGCAGTTGCTCTCTCTTTGAATTTGATTTAGATGGAAGCAAATGTATAGCTCATACGGCTTTCGGAAATGTGTTTGTGTTTTTAGTTCTAAAGGAAAATTGCGGTATCTTTATTTTTAAATCCTGACCCCTCCTTTTCTTTACTTTATCATCTACAGTGTTTTGGGGGGCGTCATCTGTGAATAATATGAGGGCAACAATTAATCTACGTGGTCATTCGATCAACTAATTCAGCCCACAGATTATTGCCAGCCCACCATGGGCACTGTTCTAGGTCCCCTGTTTAATGAGCATTTACTATGTAACCTATTGTGTGAAGCATCTGTGATACAAAGAAAGAGTGAAACATACTACCTGCCCTCCACAACAGTAACAACAAGGGGCAATGAAATTCCAAGTGGGTTGACTTGTGACCTGTCTTCGAAGTTCTCTGGGAAAACTTACCCTGGATATGTTGACATTAAAATGTTATTGACACCAAAACTGTTTTGTGGCTCAAATGCCAAGAATGAAATATGGCCCCCGTGGCTTTGATGGTGGAAACAGTTTGATTGAAAATGTTTACCACATAGAGGTTGTCACTCCCTGGATTAGAATCTTAAACCTGTGTTTGCTCATTACGCAAGTCCTCAGGACCCGCTGCTCTGGAGGCATCGGAAACACGCCAACCTGGTGTTGCATAAAAACAACTGTGCGCTCAGCAAACACAACCCCGTGAGCAGAGTTGCTGCCACTCAGCAAGAGAGGAGCCGACGTCCCGCTGCCTGCAAGCAATGGACATGGGGAAGGTCAACTCCATGGACTTCCGAGAATTCGTGGATGTGTTTGGGAATGTCATTGAGAGGTGTCCTCTGACAGCGGCTGCTGTGTGGTCCCAGAGGCCGTTCTCGGACTGGGAAGATTTAGAGAGGCACTTTTCTGCCTTTATCGATGCTCTGCCACAGTCAGGTAAGACTTCAGTATTATACTCTGAGATTCTCCCCAAAGGGGTTGCAAATATTCTTATCAAAACATGTTTAGCTCCTTTAGTTAGTTATAATTGCTATATGTATTTAGCTATTTTTATTGTAAGGGTCACTAAGTTTCCTCAAAATTAGTAAATGGAAGTCCATAACTTGCAAGGTGTGAAGTGAAAAGTTAGGTAAAAGAATGTATATTGGCTCAGGTAATGTGGCTGTTAAATGTTAAAGCTGCAAGGTCAGGAGGAAAGAGAATAGGGCCTCACGGGCTCGGAGGCCAAAGGCCAGGCGGAAGGCCTGCCTGTTTCAGCTGAGGGCGTTCACTGTGGGAGTGTCCTGCATTCAGGAGAGAAGACTGCTCCATATCAGAATATCTCAGGAGCCCAGGGGAAAGAGCATATGGCTGACACCTTTACCAAAAAGGGCCAGTTTGGACTAGACTGCTGAGGAAAGTAAATACATTCAGATCAGCTTCTCCAGGAGGAGGAAGAAGAAGAAAAGACAAAAATTGGAATGAATTCCTCTGGAGAAAGGGAAAGAAGTTGTTGGTTTTCTCTGGGTAGAGAGAGAAAAGGAAGTACTTCGGGGTGTGGGGTGGAGGTTTAGGCAAATCCCAAGTGACTCAGCCTCACAGGGATTTAGAGGCCAAAGAGATTGTCTAGATAACTCTTCCGAGACACCTGGATGGGACTGAAGGGACAGGCAGGTGGTAGGAGGCAGGTGCTGCCTTCACAGAGGGTGTTGCACAGAAATCTGGGTGGGGGGGAGAACTGACCCTCTCCTCACTCACATGAGGCCGGCAAACAAAGTCTAGCCTACCCTTCCAGGCCTTTGACATCTGGGATGGTTTCTCGTTATCAGATGAGTATCTCACAAGTAAGAAGCTTATTTTAATTCCATTTAGGCACGTCTAGAAAAAGTGGAGGAGAGTGTTACAAAACCAAACTCACAGAAATGTTGGGGTCATGTTGACACCCATTTCTCAGAGCCTCTCCAAAGCTTCCCTTCTACCACTGTGCTCAGGCACTAGGGGGGTGGCGGACCCCAGAGCCCGCTGACTGACGACCCACCAGCACAGACAGCCAGGGCCTGCAGCGCCAGCTGGAAGAAGCGAGAGGCCTCGGGAGCCCAGCTTCAAAATGTCTGGTGGGAAATAGATGAGGCCAAATGAGGATCTCCGAATCCAGACAGGAAATGATTTTTAAAGCGTATGAATGCTTTATGAATGACATTTATGTTCTATCAGGAAAAGAAAAAAAAAGGAGGAAAATCCTATTATCTGTCTCAACACCCAAAGTGGAGGTAGGGCCAGGGAAGGAATGTATTCAGAGAGAAAGCTGTGACACCATAAATAACTTCAGTCAGGTATTCACTGCTTTATCAGGTTTTCAACATTTATTTAGAGTTTGCTCTGTTCTGGGGGCTTAGATAATGAAATAAAAATTTCCCTGTACCCGTCTTCTTTCTTACCAGCGGTCACTCCAACCAGGTGTTCTAGAAGCTCTAGTCAAGGTTAGTTAAGTTCTAGTTAAGGGGCCTCTCAGTCGGTGGAGCCTGCTTCTCAGCCCCGTGCTGGCGTCCATACTCGTCCCAGGCAGGCAGCTGGGTGCAGAGCCTCCTACTGCCTGGGTGATGGCTTCCTATCTAATCAGCTTAATAATCCCAGATAGGTGACTGTTAGCAAAGTAATAATCATAACAATAGTAAAAATGTATTCAACCCTTACTATCAATGTGTTTCAGGCACTTTCCCAAATGCTTAGCATGCGTTATCTCATTTGAATCTCATTCGAATTCTATTTTTAAAAGTGTTATCATTAGTATGCCCATTTTATAGCAGTGAAAACTGAAGCACAGAGACATTAAGTACGTGATCAAGGACACACAGCTAGAAAAGAGCAGGACTGGGATTCAGCCCCTGGTGGTCAACTCAGCAGCCTATGAAGGATTTTTCCAGAGAATCAGGAGCAAAGTCTAGAAACAATTTCTAGGGGTTTTATTCATTTGTTTACTAATTTATTTAATTAACATTAATGCTTAATGCCACAGACCTCGTTTTGGTTGCTTCAACAGTCAAATAAAATGGGATTTCCTGCATAGTCTAGTCTTATTCCTTGAATAGAAAGGAACAAAATGGGGGTAATAGTTTGTGTATCCTAAAACTAAAAGCAACTTTGAGGAGATGTGCAGGCTATGGTGATTTACTTCATCAAACATTTGTTTTGAATAATCTAAGGAAATACTCTGCCACTAGCAGAAAACTGAAGATCCTGTTTTTACCATAAACCAAGGTTGACAATCCATTGATAATCCATAGCATAGATTATGCGATGACAAGCATTCAACAGTAGATGGCAGTCCATGATTAATATTTAGCTCTAGCAATAATTGGCAAAGTATCCTTTGAAACCGACCTCCTGATTTCCAGGAAAGGGGAATGGCAATAGCATAGGGAAGAATGGTGAACACACATGGCCAATAATGAACTAGTTCAGCACAAATACTGATTCGTGTTAAAAATCAAAGAGCAAAAAAACTTATGGTGCAGTTAATCATGCATCTTTTTGTGGCATCTCACCGTTGCAATAATGGCATAATTCATTATTTAATACTCATTTCAAAACAGAGTTGTTGAATTAATGAAGTTAGATACTAATAAATTCCTTGAATGCAGGCTATAAGGTAGAAGAGGCTATTAAAATGTGTTCTGTCAGAGAATATATTAAATTCCTTCCCAAGAGTGATGTGTTGGTTAACAAATACTTCTCAAGTGCCCACTAGCCCCAGGAATTGTCCCAGGCACTGGGGATTGGAACAGTGACCACGATAAGTCCTTTCCTTCAATGAGCTGTGAAGAGAGACAGAATTAACATAAATAAATAACTTCGGGTTCTAGGAACTATTAGAAGAAAATACGTACTATTATAGAAAATGCATAAGAAAAGAGGTCTTCCTTAGAAAATGATATTTGAGTTTAAAAGCAAAGGATGAGAAGGAAGCAGTGAAAGATCCAGGAGAAGACCACTCTGTGAAAAGGCACCTGAGACCCCTGGCATTTGGGGCACAGAAAGATCAAGATGGTTGGAGAGTCATGAGAAATGGGGAAATAGGAGGAAAGAGAGGTCAGCTAGCAGGGCTGCTGTGATAGTAAAAGTGAGAGGGTTTTGGGACAAGGATTGAAGCAGGAGAGATATGGCTGGATTCTCAAAATAGATGTTAGAGTTGGAGCCAACAGGTGTTTGAAATTCGTTGGGGGAAGGCAGGTCAAAAACTAAGAGAAATTAAGGATCACTCCCTAGTTTTTAGACTGATCAACTGGGTGGGTGGTGGCACTGTTTTCTACAATGAGGAAGACAAGAATCCAGCGGAGCCCTGGCTGGTGCAGCTCAGAGGACTGAGCATGAACCAAAGAGTCGCTGGTTTGTTCCCAGTCAGGGCACAGGCCTGGGTTGCAGGCCAGGTCCCCAGTGGGGGGGGCCATGTGAGAGGCAACCGTACATTGATGTTTCTCTCCCTCTCTTTTTCTCTCCCTTCTCCTCTCTCTATAAATAAGTAAATAAAATCTTTAAAAAATAATCCAGAGGAGAGGGTGGAGAATGGGGGTTTGTTAAGTCTGAGATGCCGGGTATTCACCTGGATGAAAATACAGCGGGTTCGGTGGGCCATAGAAAAGGCACTCGGTGAAAAGCTGAGGGCTGGAATAGATCTGAGGGTCATCAAAGATTCTATGGCCTTGCAAGTGGTGGGACCAGATGAGAACACGCAGGGCATCAGTGTAAATACAGAAGGGAGGAGGTGTGGGTCCTTGGTACTTCAACAGTAGGAATCTGGCGGAGCAAGAACCACTGGTGAAAGTAGGCAAATGATGGTCATCTTTCTAGAGAGAAAGAGGACCAGCCCTGTAATATGCTCCCATAGAGGTTGTGAGAGAAGAGGCCAGAGCCCTGGTCATGGGTTTGGGCAAAATGTCCATCATCTGTGCCCTTGATGAATGCAGATTTGTTGATGGGCGGGGCTGAACGCTTAGTAGAGTGAACCTGGAATGGGAAGTGAAGAAGTCGAGGTCCTGCGTAGACACCAGCTCCCTTCCGTTGCTGTACGAAGGAACAGAGACTCAGGGAGAAGCTAGAGGACAAGAGGACTCGAGGGAGGGATTCGATTTTGTTTATGGGATGCATGGTTCTATGGCATGTTTGTATATTAACAATGAGTTAAAGGAGGAGAAATTGATGTTTGTCATTGCGGTCTTTGAGATGCAAAGAGAGACTGGCTTCAAGAACATCAGTGGAGAGGTTGGTCTTCACCAGAGGGACTAGATGATTTATTGTACCAGGAAGGAGCACACACTACTTGGCACAGATGTAGGGACACAAGTGGATGGAACAGGCTTTTAATCCAATTGCCTGCTCTTCGGTGGCCACTATTGCCTGCCCTGTCTTGTCCTATTGGAACAGAGTATCAGCTCTATGCCAGGAATTCTGATGCAAAGATACGTGTCTCATGGCTGCAGCAAACAATATATGTCCCCATCTCCACACAAGGCCTGTCGGTGGCACAGAGAGTGAGTGGCAAAAGAACAGGCAGCATTAAAATGGCCCTCAGAACTGAGGGACATTCAAATGTCTGGTTAGAAGTTTGGCATTCGAAGTGGGAGGGTCTGCAAGACTGAAGGCAGGGAGGTGGGAAGTACCTGCCAGTCTGGAGTTTAAGGCCAGGGATGGAAGTGCTTTTAGGGTGCAGCACTGGGAGGGGAACTGAAGCTTTGCTGCAGGCCAGGGGGCCTGGATCAGCGCCATCCTGGGCAGCACTCAGGATTCAGTGGTCTGGGGCAATAGAGACAGAGGACAGGACTCCTCAGCAGGTTCTATTTCCTGCAGCTGAGGTTTGTAAAGTGTGTGTATGTTCTAGTTTAGTTTTTGGTCTCTTCTCTGTGCTCTGCCCCTCTTCTCATCCTCCTTTCTCTCCTCCTGCAAACAGTGGAAAACACAGGCTCAGTCCTAGGCAAACATTAACCCCAGGCAGTGTTTTCAAGACAGGAGACAAACCCAGGGGAATTAGAAGCAAGGTGCAAAGGCAAGAAGCGAAGAGGCAGGTGGGGCCCACGTAGGACGGTGAGGCCGTAAGGGGACAGACCCAGCCCCCACACCAGGGTCTCCCACCGGTAACTAATGTCCTGAAACTGGGGCTGGGCCTCTGAAGAGTTAAGAAATAGGGGGAAGGGAAGCAAACAGACTAGGAGTCTTGAGAGAGGACTGGGGCTGCGCCCCCTCCCCCTGCCCAGAGGCTGCTTTGAAAATCCGAATATGCAAAGATGGGGCGCAGGGCGGGTGCTGACAGGTGGGGACCTACCAAGCTGTCCAGGACTGGAAGTTTCTCCTCTCCCAGCCTAGTAGTCTGAGGGTCCCAGGGCTGGGGGGGGGGGTGTGGAGCAGAAATGGGTTCAGTGGTCTCATGGCACAGCCATCTCTGACTCAGGGATGTGGGGAGGGGGACCCCCACGCACCAATGTTAACATCTACATTTTCACACCACCTGGACAGGGATGGATGCAGGAAATGAGAAAGAACCATCCCCTCTTTGCAGGGCCCAAGGGACAAGGCTCGAGAAAGGGATTCTAAAACCTGGGTGCTACGGACATGGAATTATTGGTGACAATGGGGTTCGTTTTTAACTGCCCTTAACCTTGTAGAGGCAGCCGGTTCCCCGAAAGATGACCCGGATTTGGAGTCTAGAGTCCAGGGTGGTCCACCTCTGGCTAGGTGACCTTGGGGAGGTCATCCAGCCTTTTCTGAGCCTCCACTGAATCCTTTCTTAAATGTGGGTGGTTCCCCCCAGTTCGCCCCACTGCTCAGGACTCTGGTTCATGAGTTAGATGGAATGATCACAATCATCTTTTAATTGGGCAGAAATGATAAGATTTGAGTAAAGGGATATTTGCATCACAGTGAAGTGGGATTTTTAATGACCACCTTTTCCAGTAGAGCCCCTGCCTACTCCCAGTGCCAGAGTCAGATGCTTCAGGCCGTGCCTCAGTCATTTACGAGTTTGCTATGAGAATGGTGGCTGTTGAACTCTGCCAGCATCGGGCGCGGGGTTTCAGGTAGATGAGGCGTCTCTAATCCTTGCAACTAACTGCTCGGCAGATTCGGCGTCCTTACTCTCGTTGTGCCTCCCGGTCTCTGAAACCTCCCCCAGCCCGGAAGTTTCCACTTCTTTCTGGAGAGCTAAAGGGAAGGAGAGGGCCGGGCCCAGAAAACCTTAACTGGATTAGGATTTAACCTCTCCGGCTTCCCACCAGGGAGTCCCATTTTACTTCCAGGGGCCTAGGAGAACACGTTGTATTCCGAGGTCTATTTGGGATCTACTGTAGAAGAAGGGAAACGAGCCTCAGACAGGGGGGGGGGTGAGTGGGTGCTGTTTCCCTAAAAGGAGGGAAGCTACCCTCATTCAAAGGGCTGCGGGATTCTGGCGGGAATTTTTTTCCAGTTAATCATCTGCAGGGCTCTTTGGAGGCCTGATTCCAGAAGGGCCACAAAACCCCGGGCATTTTGCCACGCCCCCTGGATGTTACCCTGCAGGACCCTCCTCGGCCTTCTCCTCTGGCCCAGAACGAGCTCCATTCCTGGGCCTCTGCAGGAAGTCCTCGGGCCTCCTCCGTCCAGCCCCTCTTCGACATCAAAGTCCCCGGGAGAGCAAAGGACTTTGAAAAGACACGAAATGCTCCGGCTCCTTATCACGTCCCTGCTCCCTCCCGAGCAAGTCGTAAATTCCGAGTCTCAACAGCCTCACCCCCTCCGCTCTTCTTGCCCCAAGGTCTCAAAGGACAAATTTGTCACTTCCCGCCCCGCCCCTGGGTCCTGGCGGAGACCGAAAGAAGCGGAGGCGGAGGGGCGCAAAGGTCCAGACGTGTTTGGGGGGCGAGTGCAATGGAAGACCCTGTCCCTCCAGGACCCTGCGTTTTGCCCCTCTTCACCTCCTGGGGGCCTCGGTCCCTACTCGAAGCCTCCTCGGGGCGCTGCGGACCGTAGTCCCTTCCTCCCGGTCAGCGCTGCGGTAACGGGCTCCCGCCGGTGTCTGTGCTTCTCCGCAGGCCAGGAGGGCGTCCTGCGCTGCTACCCGGACCTGGCGGGCCGCGACCTGCATCGGGGCGCGCTGACTGCGGAGTCGCAGCGGGAGCACAGCGTCGCGGGCCTGCTGAGCTTGGGCGCCGCCGAGGGGCTGAGGCTGGCTGAGCTCAACTCGCAGTACTGCGCGCGCTTCGGCTTCCCCTTCGTGCTCGCGGCGCGCCTCAGCGACCGCGGGGCGGTGTTCCGCGAGCTGGAGCGGCGGCTGCACCGCCCGTCCGCGCTCGAGCTGCGCACGGCCCTGGGCGAGGTGAAGAAGATCTGCCGCTTACGGCTCGCTGACCTCTTCGGCGTGGACCCTGCCGCCCGACCGCAGCGGCCGTGCGCACCCGGGCCCTGGACTCGCGGAGACCGGGACCCTGCACCGTGCGCCCTGGGCGGGGGAGCTGGCACTGTCCGCAAGCTCACACAAAGGAGGGGAGGACTGAGGCAATCCTATGAATAATGAGCCCTTTTGTTCGCCGCCCCACGTCCGCACCGTTTGCTAAAATATCTATGTCGTTTCGTGCTTTTCCCCATTTATTCAGCTCACTGCTTCACTTCTTCACTTTGCGGACCGTTGACACTACCAGCTTTCGTGGTTCCGACGCGCTTATCCAGCTCTGGCTGCCTACCTACCCTTTCCTGCTAAGTGGAGCTGCCAAGCAAAACAGGCGGAAAATTAATCTTTTATTCCACTGGGGTTTGCCCGTTTGTTTGTTTTCTCCTCCCACCTTATTTGCTGCGCCGACATTTACGTGCGAGCGGAGCAGCGTTCTCACTCTGGGGCAGGGAGAGGATTCCGTGCAAGGAAAGCCAGCGCGGGTCTCAGTCTGCAGCGCAGGCACCAGGCGGAGGTCACCAAGTGTGGGAAAGATGAGTAGGAGAGCGCACTGCGATGGGCCAGAGCTGGGCGGGCGCCCCTTGGCACCGGTCTCTCCCGGAGGTGGGCTCGTTAGAACTTCAGGCTGCCCAGGAAACCCATTAGTCAATTTAAAAATTAACAATAAGATTAATAATTTAATAATACTCATTGAGCAGTGCCGGATATTGTGGGATGAAGATGGGATGCCACAGCACTGATACAGTGGGTAATGGAAGGAAAGCATCACCCAAAGAAATCTTTTTGGCCAGAGTAGGTCAGCTCGGCAGAGTGTGTCATCCCTGGGTCTCCAGGGCCGCCCTACCGACTGGGCAGCTCCCTGCACTGGGGGCCAGAGTGTCCGCTCATGCAGGAGTCTCTCTCTCTCTCTCTTTGCCACACACACTGGAAGATCCCAACAACTACTACTTAGGTTTCTGTTGGCAGAGGAGAAACTAGTCACGCGTATCCTCCCCATCACAGTCACGGTAGAAGTGAAGGCAGAGTCGGCCCTTTTACAGACGAGAACCTCCTTGGTGACCAACCGGTCTGGGTTAGCAGTAGCAACAGCAACAATACCTTCTTTTCCATACAAAGTGGTCTGGCTGGTGTGGCCACGCCCTTGTTTGGGGCTGAATCCAACAGCTAGAAGCCACTCCGGGAACACCGGAATTTTAATCAAGTATCTGCACTCTCCCTTCCCATCTTACTGGTCTTCCCATTAGTGGTAAGGGTGGAGGCACAAGTAAGGGGGCCGCGGGGCGTGAGCTGTGGTCACCAGCGTCTTTGTAGCTGGGGTCTGTGCCACACGCCTTCTCTGGGGTAGGAAGGTCAGGTGCAAACCACAAAGGGACTCAGCGACTCGGTGTCTGTGCCGCAAGCCCCAGAGGCAGTGGTGGAGCCCCTGGGCCTAGGGCCGGATGCCTGTCTGTCTGTCTGGCCAGGGTAACTCGGCCATTTTCCTGACAAACCGTACACGAGGAACCCGCTGCTTGGCCCAGGATACAAGTGCCACGGGCTGGCCCCAACACTCAGAATCATGCAGCAGCAGCTGCAAGGCACCCCGTCAAACCCTGGCCGAGCCCGGCTGTTACACAGATGGGCCCCCACATGCAGAGCTCCCTCTGCGGGCTCCCTCTGTGAACGTGGTCGCTCTAAGACAGGCAGGCCTCCCAGCGCTGTTTTTAGAACAAGTGACCTAGACCTCTCAGGAATGACCTGGTGTCGCGATTTCACAGCTGCCTTTCAGCGGTTCATAGCCTGTCGGGGAAACTGTTTATTTCTGCAGGAGGGGATACGCCCCTTCAAGGAGCTGGGTGCGGGGGAGGGAGAGCCGGCTGCCCAATGCCTCCTTCAAAGAAGCCCGAGCCTTCGCGGCGGGAGGGCGGACGCAGGACGGGACTCCTGGCTGGGAAGTGCCTTGGCCAAAGCCCCTGGCGGCTCCCACTTTCTTCTCCGGTAGGAGCGGAGGCAGAGGCCTTTCCTTGCGCTACAGGTCGCCTGTGCGTGCGGGGGTCTGGCAGGGCAGTTTCTCCAGCCACAGTTTGTCTCAAACCCTGACGCTCCTGAGCCTCTGCCAGCCTCGTTCTGGCGGAGACGTTTTCTTGGTTCGGTGCGGAGCGCCGGGTGCGCAGGATGCGGGAGGCAAACCCAACAGCCGGGACCGCGGCGAGAACTTGGGCCCCCACCTGCGCACCCCCAAGGAGGTCTGTCTGGGCGACCAGAGCGCACCCAGCGCGTGTCGGGGGTACAGAAGTAGTTGGCTCAGGTGCCGGGGTGAATAATAACACTTTACTTACCAGTTCGTTACAAAAGCGCTAAGGCAATGCTGAGGCCGAGGAACTAGATTCAGGATCCGAAACCCTTCGGGCCCTACGAGCTTACACGCCCTTCTGAGGAGGCGTTGCTTTGTTCGTCCTCACGTCCCCTTAAAGTGTTCGAGCCCACCTAGCCCAGGTGTCCCCTGAACGGATGGACCCTACAGCTCCTGTTACGAATTCACGGGCCCAGCGCGCTCGGCTTTCGCCTGTGTAGCTGGAACCCGAATGCGGGCTTCCTTCATCCCCCCCAGAGGAGGTTTTCGGTCTGCGTCCGAACGCGCCCCCCGGGCACTGAGGCGGGGAGAGGGGAGGCCGGGAAGGGCGACACAATTTCTTTGCAAAACTGCCACCCACTTTCCTTTGGACACATTTCCAGAGAACAGCCACATGACACCGGTTTTGATGAAAAAAATAAAGCTCTCTTTTGGGAAAATATTGACTGAGGAACAAAAGTAAGTGGATACCTTCTTTGGCAACTGGAGAAAACTCTGGGATGAAACTTGTGGAAAAATCACCACCCAATAAACTAATAAACCCCGGTTAGCAGGTGCCTGTGAAACGGGGAAATCGGTGGGACGGGGGAAATCACTCGGCCTGTCCCGAAGGCAGACACGGGTTCTTCTGGCACAGTTTGGGGGGGAAGGGTGGGCAGTTGGGGTGCTCTCTGGTCTCCTGTTGGGGACACAGTGTTTCCGGGCGGCACCGGCAGCCTCAGTAACAATGAACACGGACGGGCACAGAATTACAAAGAATGCACAGTAATGGCAATTTTCAATCTTCTCCATCTCATGGCACACGTAATTACTAAAATTCTGCAGCACACCAAAAAAAAAAAAGTGTATTTTTTGCCAATCTGATGGCTATCATTGTGTTGCCTATTGTCTTTTTTTTTAAACTTGATATGTAATCTATGGGAAAAGAGGTCAGTGTCCCTGACTAAATAGTCAGGTGTTGCATGTCTTAAAAATTCTTGTGGCGCCCAGGTGAAAAATTGCCGCACTATAGCAACTCATTTAATTTTAGTGACTGATATAGTTAGCTGTGTGGTCTAGGGAAAGTCACCTAACCTTTCTGGGCCTCAGATTTCCTCTTTGTAAAATGGAAGGGCCACACAGACGCTCAGTCCCCTGTCTCCTCTTCAGGAAGAGTAGCTTTCCACTGGGACCAGTGACTGGAGGAGAGCTGAACCCTTGCTTGAGCCCCTTTCCACAGTCCCATAGAGCCTACTGTGTAGGGCTTCTTAGGAACATATTTTCATATGCTAAACAAAGGTCACTGGAAGCAGGAGGCACTGGCGAGTGAACAAATGGTACCCGAAGGCTCTGTAGTAGCCTCTGGCCGCTGCTGGCTGACGGCCTTGTTCTCCCAGCATCGAGGGCTCTCCTCTGTGGCGAGGACCCCAAGTCCCTCTCTCCTGGGAGCTAAATCAGATTTCTGCCCCCAAGTTCCAACCCCTTTCCTGGGGCTCTTTATTTTCCCAGCTCTCCTGGCTTTGAGAATATATTACCTTGGACAGAGGAACAGGAAAAGAGGTATTGCTTGCCTTGATCTGAATGCTTGGTGGCACCACCGTCTGGGACCCCAGCCCCTGAGGCCACCCATACCCTCCTACAAACCCAGAAACTTTTCTTCAGGTAGAGAGGACCAGACATTCGGTTTGACTCCACTGGGCAGGGAAGGACCTGCTTCTGGGAAGCTTTGGATGGCTGTGGTCCGTGTCTGCTTTTCAGGATGAACACATCGGGCTCCACGTGGCCGGATGGGACTGAGCAAACTGTGGACTCTGGGGACACTCTGATCCATTTCCTTTTCAGCGAAGTTAGCTGAGTGGGCTGTGGCAGGACAGGGTGGGGACACTGGGGTCAAACCAACCATGAACAAGCCTTCCTTGTTGTACATGTGTGGGGTGCTGGTTGGATGCGATGGCTGAGGAACTCCCTGCACTCTGGTGAAGTTTGAGTCGCTCTCCCAACAGCAGTATATATTGCCAAGCAGAACAGTTATCAGGCATTTTCTTCCTTCTCACTCTCCCTTAACTATCCCGGGAACTCAAGCCGATGCAGGGGGAGGGTTTCCTGTGCAGGGGTGGAGAGGGGGGTGGAGAGCGGTGCATTATTTGGATAATTTCCTTCATCTCAAAAGGGATTTAGAAAGTAGACTTGCACGTGAAGGTAGACAGAACCAGCCGGCCCTATCCAGGTTGCAAGGGCCACAGACTCCATAGTTTCCAGGAACCTCAAATATGGGGGAAGGCAGGGTCCCCCAAGGTGGAGCAAACACTGGGGACCTTTGAGCAGGGAGGGAGCCCTGTCAATGATCTGTGGATTCAAGGAGTGTCTCATCTGCTTGGAGAAACGGCCCGCCCCTTCCGGAGCCTCCGGCTTCCCATCCCCCTCCGCGCCCCTGCCCTGGCCACCAAGCTGGATTCTGAAAGCCCCGACCCTCTCTGAGGAATGTAGAATGGCCTCTACAACATCAGTAACAGGGAGAAGTCCCTTTGATGACTGAGTCAGGGCTGCCCATGTAGTCTTCCTAACACTTTATTTACCTGGGTCCCTCTTCTCACCTTTTTTGCCTTTAAAAGCCTACTCTATCCCTGACTCCATGGGGCCAGCATAACTTCAGTCCCAGGCCAAGTCCAACCCCAACCTCTCCAAATAAGTTGGCTTCTTCCAGCGTGATTAGCTGAAGGCTTTTCTGGTGTGGCAGCCAGCTGGAGACCAGAGGTACTAGCTGGAAGGAGCCTTGCGCAGCAAGCTTGCGGTTGATCCTGCTGGGTACTTCTCAGCTCAGGCCAAAAGGCTCTGAGAAAGCTGTCAAGCACCTTAGAGAAAGTGCTGCCTGGGGCCCTAATGCAGGCAGCACCTGCATTCCCCCAGGGCCACACACCTGCACCCAGAGGCTGGAGGAGCTGCCCTGCAGGCCTAGAATAAGCACCTGACAAAGCCGTGCCAGAGGCTAAACCATCAGGATGGAAAAGAACACCTCCGCCCTTCTCAGATTGCCCCACCATCCCGCCGCTCTGGTGTACTTAGATGTGAGGGGACAATTTCACCCCGTGGAGCTCGTCTAAGGACATCACTGTTGGTTTCCTTTCCCCTCACCCCACAGCCTACACCTGAGGCTCTGGGGCGGGGCTATGCTGCTACCATGGGCCCCCTTTTCCAGGAAGGAAACGGATTGGTTTTCACAATGATTTCCTTTCTCCAGTCCTCCAACCCCAAGTGAGCCTAAGGTTTCCCTGAAGTCTGGCCACTTCTGGGGCTAGGCATGAGTCCTGCGGCCAGAGCGATCCTGGCCACCCCCAAAACATCTGGGTGGGCAGCCCAGAGCCCTTTCTCTAGGCCAGAGCACAGAGACACAGCTGGAAAGGCGGGACAATTAGCCAGTGGCTGGCAGCCGGGCCATAAAAACGCAGGAAGTGGCCACTGCAGGGTAGAGGGGACGGCTGCCCCCAATAAAGCGATTGTTACAAAGAATGCCCACATTCCAAAATCACAGGCTGAAGACCGTGCCTCCGCTGGCTTCCAGGGCTAGAGGCCTGGGGGGTGGGGGATGTGGGGGCAGAAGGAGGGGCTGTGTCTCCAGGAAGAGGAGGAAGATGTTTACTAGATCAAAAGTCTGCAGTGCCCATCACTTCACCTCTCACATTCCTGCCCCATCAGGACGGCAGACACCCCTTTCACACGCACCCCACATTCAGTGATTTGGCTTTTGTCATGGCGCCTGCAACGTATCTTCTATTTTTTTCTAGAGAGGTCCCAATGACACTCAGCGGTCTGGGCTGGGCCCAGGGGTCCCCGTGGGTGTCCTTCTTGGATCTCCTGCCTCTTGAGTGCTCAGTGTGCTGCTCCCCCCACCCTCAATTTTAACCTTCTTCCTTAGGAAACACGAAGAATGGGAGGGCCCAGCAAGCAGGAGACCCTGAGAAGCCCTGAACCTGCTGGTCCTGGTGTCTCTGCACCACGCAGTTTGGTGGACATCATCCGTAAGACGAAGAGCTCAGCAACAACAGCTTTGTTCTGGATCTGGGGAGAGGGGAGGATTGGGGAGATAAAAGACACTGGAAAGGGCTCCAGAGATGACACATGTAATGACAAATACCAGAGAGTGCTTGACAGTGAGAGCCAAGTGCAGATCAGGAGGAGAGCGGCCAGCGCCCCGACGTTTCCAGAACAAGCACAAAGCCACCCAGTCAGCCTGCACTGACTGCTGAACCAGCCCTGTGAACCCCCACATGGCATTGCCATCTGCACTGGGAGAGAAGGCAGACGGTGACCGCGGCCGTCTCCCGGTGGTCACCGCGCTGAGATCACACCACGGGAGCGAAATCTCCTGGGCCTGTGCTCCTGTGGTGCGGATCCCCAGCCAGGCCCAGCAGCAGAGGCCACCACAGCCGCTACTTCCAGGCCCTGGGTCCGTGGACACAGTGCTTCGAAAACGAAGGAGGGTCCTTCCTTAACTCTTCCCGCTCAGAGCTTTTCGGAAGCAACCATTAGTAATGGGCCAGGTTTCCCTTACCATCACCTCCCAGATGGAAAATAATTTTCCGTCAAGAATGCTTTACTTTGTAAAGGAAAGAGTGCTTTTAGGACTTAGGTACACATTAGCAGACATTCTAGGCTCCCTTTTCCTTGATTTTTAACCACTTATTTAAGTATAGTTGCCCCTTTGAAAAGCACTCATTGGGCCTTTCACTAATGACCCACTGAGCCTTCAAGAAAGGGCAAAGTAAAAACACGGCTTTTGGGTGAAGCATGTTGTGTTGTTTCACTTCAACCGGTGGTGTGACAAAGGAAGAAGAAAGAAGGAAGAAGAAGAAGGAGAAGGAGAAGGAGAAGGAGAAGGAGAAGGAGAAGGAGAAGGGAATTAAGTGTAGTAAACTTAAAAGTGTAGCTCGCTGAGTTTTCGCAAACGCACAGTGTGAGCAGTATCTGCATTCCAACCACCTTCTGCTCCATGACTGCCCTCCTCTCGCCTGATTACTAATTTGGTTTGTAGTAAAGACTTTTGATCTTAAGTGCAATTACTTAAAAATTGCTTTAACTTAAACCCCAAGTATTGGATGAACTCGGAGAGGCAGCCTGTAGCTAGGGTCATACTTTATCTCGTGTAGAGGGCGAGCGGTTGGCTTGCTCGGGGAAGAAAGTGAACGCTCAGCTGTGACAGTGTCTCGGGCGCGCAGTCGTTCCCGCCAGGGACGCAGAGCGGGAAGGAGCGGAGCCTGTCTTCCCCTCCGCTCTTCGCCTCCCGCGTTGGTTAGAAACCTCCTCATCAAAGCAATGGCTTCCCTTTACTCTGGGAATAGAAGGAGCTTCTTGAAGACCACCCCCCACCCCCGCCCTCACCGCCTTTGCATAAGCACAACTCCTCAGTCTTCAAGCCCAGATACCACCGAGACGGCCATTCCCCTCTCTTTAGGTAGTTTCTTGATTTCGTTCTTTGAAATTGGAGGTTAAAGTGCACCATGTTGGAAGGAGGAAGTTCTTAACAATAAAGGCTTGAATATTTAGCTGTGATCAAGTCGCTGCCATCTCGCCAGCCCCCTCCCCCCTTATCTTTTAAAATGCAAATCATGTGTGTGGGGGGGCGGTATGCGCGGGTTGCGCGCTTCGCCTAGACGTCTCCAGCCATTGGTGTCTGTGTGATTACTAATAAAGTCCTGTAAACACTTGTTAATCACGTAAGGCTGCCGGCCCCAGGATCTGGGCTCCGTTCGCCAGCTCGTGGCGGCGGTCTTCCCCGCCTCTGCCGCTTAGAGGGAAGGAGGTGGGAGGAAAGAAGGAAGAAAGGAAAGGAGGGAGGGAGGGAGGAAGGGAGGAGGGAGGGAGGGAGGGAGGAGACAGGCCAGTGGGAGGGACTGCCTTAGAGGCAGAATTGCCGCGAGTAGCCAGCGGAGCACCGCAGGCTGGGGCGCAGCCACCCGCAGCTCTTCCCGTCCCGGAGACCTTTCCCGTTTGCGCCTCACCGCAGTCCCCAGCGTCCGTCCCCAGGCAGCATGGTGAGGCTGGCTGTCGGGCCTTCGCCACCATGTACGTGAGCTACCTCCTGGACAAGGACGTGAGCATGTACCCCAGCTCCGTGCGCCACTCCGGCGGCCTCAACCTGGCCCCGCAGAACTTCGTCAGCCCCCCGCAGTACACGGACTACGGCAGCTATCATGTGGCGGCTGCGGCAGCGGCAGCCGCGAACTTGGACAATGCTCAGTCCCCGGGGCCGTCCTGGCCCGCAGCTTACGGCGCCCCACTCCGGGAGGACTGGAACGGTTACGCGCCGGGTGGCTCCACGGTCGCCGCCAACGCCGTGGCGCACGGGCTCAACGGGGGCTCCCCGGCAGCCGCCATGGGCTACAGCAGCCCCGCCGACTACCACCCTCACCACCACCCGCACCATCACCCGCACCACCCGCCCGCTGCGCCTTCCTGCGCCTCAGGATTGCTGCAGACTCTCAACCCCGGCCCTCCCGGGCCCGCCGCCACGGCTGCCGCGGAGCAGCTGTCCCCCGCCGGCCAGCGGCGGAACCTGTGCGAGTGGATGCGGAAGCCGGCGCAGCAGTCCCTTGGAAGCCAAGGTGAGCGGCGGCGCGCCCCGCGGGAGGGCGTCCAGGGAGGCGCGGCTGCGGGACTGGCTGCGGGACTGGCTGCGGGACTGGCGGCGCATCCTGTGCGCGCCCGGGCTGTTGGGGGTTCCGCGCCAGTGGGGTGGGTCGGGGAGACGACGTCAGGAAACTCGAGCCCTGGTGACTTCTCTAGCTTCTAGGGTGGCCAGGGCTGGGGGTGAATGTTTTGACCTTACACCTCTGGCTCAGTTTAAAGCAAATGCGAAGCTTGGTTGTACTGAGTGGATCGTGTCCCCCCCCCCCCCGCCCCCGTCAGGCTGCCTCCGCTCCCATGCGGTGCGCCGCTTCTAGCCACCGGGAAGAGGGAGCGTCACAGTCTACCGCCCGGGCGGTCTACGCCAGGTCTCCGTGCCCTCCTTCCTCATCTGACTACTCAGCAAGGGAGGTGGGGGGGGGTGGTGGCAAGAGAGCGGCGCGTGGGCCCAGGTCTAGTCATTCTGGTCCACTCAAGGGACCAGCGCTACAGTAAGTCTGCAGATGGGACAGAGGTGCTGTGTCGGAAAAGGAGCTGTTGGCCACGGGAGCTAAGGTGAAGGGGGCCCGCCCTGGTCTTTGAACTTTTGATCTGCAACGGGGTGATTTCAGTCTGGAGCTGGAGGAAAGAACCCTCGGGAAAGAGGAAACCTTGATGCTGATTTAGCGGCTGCTTCAGACGAGGATCATTCGCTCTGAATCAAGGATCCAGGCAGGTGTGTGCGCGAGCGCTCGCGCACGCCTACGGGCAAGGCGTCCTTTCCGCAGATGTTCCCGCGAAGACCCTGGGTTTGCCAGGCCGTGGGGCTCATCGGTTCCGGGTCTGCCCCTTCGGGCGCAGGGATGTGGGTCAAGGTGGGAAGGAAGGGCGAGTAGGTGTGTTGCGGAGAGTCCTTCTGGCGTCGCCTTTTTACTCCAGGAAGTCTTCCCAGCCCTCTGCACTTCCTCTTTCTCTCTTCCCTTTTTTCTGCCCCCAGCCCGGCGGCATGCAGGTTATGGCCACTTCGAAGAGGTTTACAGCCAATTACAGACGTATAAATCAGAGCAGCCGTTGGGGGCTGTCTTTGGGGCTCGGGTTCTGCGTCACTGGGCGCATGCCGGTGTCTTTCGGGTGGGAAGGCCACAGGGCTGGCCTCGCGACCTCTATTTGGCCCCGTCCCCTAGAGGAGGCACCCTGGTCGGACTAGAGCGCAAGCCGAAAGAAGGCTTCCTCTCCAGAGCCTGCCAGGGGCGCAACTGGCAGGGACCCAACGGCCTAAGGGAGACCTCGGCGCGGCCCAGGAGAGCGCAGAGGTGTGGGGAGGAAGGTGAACCGCGGGAGCCCAGGCCTCGAGGTCAGCAGATGAGAGGTTGCTGTGAAGTCCCGCGCCAAGGTGGCAAGGCCGCAGTCGGCGCCCGGCGCCCTTATGATGTTAATGTAGGGAAGCCGCGGCCCGCCGGCTGGACCCCGGCTTCTCTGCGGAGCTTCATCTGTCAAGGGGCGAGGGGGTGGTACTCGTCCCGATCCTCTTTGATATACACCTTCCCAGCCCTGCCATTGTCTCTTTTAGGGCCCGGAAAGAGGGTGGTGACTTTCGCAGTCAATAATGAATTCTGACAAGTCCCTCTCATCTCTCCCCTCTTCCAGCCCCCTCTTTGGTTCCCAGGGGGTGAGGGGCGCCTGCAAGGCCCTTGGGCGCGGACTACGGCGCGTAAAGGGTCCTCCTGGTCACCGCGTTTCCCAGCCCCTCCGGGGTATTCAGCACCCGAGCAACGGTGGCTCCCGAGCGCCCCAAGGCGCGTCACTAATGGGGCGTTGGGCTCGGACGACTCCTTCGGGTCCCGCTCCCTATAGCTCTAGAGGTGTGTTTTGTGGCTTCAACCTGACCAAGGTGCCAGGCGCACCTTCACCATCTGCCTGACTTTGTCTGATTTTCAGTTTTCTCATCGGTAAAAAGGGGCGACTCCCACTGGCAGCCTCAAGTGGGTAACCGGGAACGCGCCTACCTCCAGGAGCCCCTCGCGACGTTAGTGCCCTTCGCTTTTTTCGCCGCGCAGGGTCGGGGCCTCAGCGCCCATTCAAATGCGCCTGCCGGGCGGTGTTTATGTTAATGCGCCTGGCGGGGAGGGGGATGAAAGCCGGGCCGCCATTTGCTCAGTAGTGGTAATTCAAACAGAATGCGGTTGTTATTAAGGCATTGAAAGGACTTTTCTTTGATAAGATCGCCTTGTCCGGCATTGTTTGCGACCGTGTCCCCCTTTCAGAGGCTTGGGGGAGTTCCCTCTGATCCAGCCTGTATCTTCCCAGGGCGCTTTTGTTGTGCTTTGCCAAGGGTTTTACCTGAACAAAGTCGGCCTGCGGGGCATTAAACACCTCCGAGCAGCTCCGAGACCCCTTAGATCTTTCTGTCGGACTGGGCACTGGGCGGCTGGACCTCTCTGCTGCCTGAAGACAGGAGCCTGGCCAGGGCTATGGGGGGGAGGGGGGGCTGGGGGTGGGTGGCTCAGGACAGATGCGGCGGAGACGCCAGTCTCGGGTCTGCTCCAACTGAGGCGGCACCATTTGTCAAGACCCTTCAGTAAAACAATCAATCCGAGGTTTAATATGTTGACTCAATCCAGCGAATATGGATCCCTGGTCAGGATAGCTCTGCAGGGTTTGAAGCAGAAATAAATGGGGGATTTTAAAAAGAGTGGGGAATGCCAAACCAGGTGTCTACAGTGTAGGCGGGGCTTTCTGCCCGCTGCCTGCCAGGCCGCAGCGCGGTTTCTGCAGAGGGACCTAGGGTCTTGGGGGGGGGGGGGGACTCTGCCGACCAGAGGGAGCCTGTGAGCGCCTGCACCCCGCCTTGCACTTCTAATAAAGCAAACAGAAAGTAACCTCCACCCCTCCGCCGCTACTAGTGCATGCCCACGTGTTGAGGTGGGCGTTCATTTCTGGTGGGCCTGAAAGTCTGAGTATTCCCCGGGGCTCCGGATTTTTTCTCCTGCTCTTTTCCTAGCCAGCTCCAATACCATATTTGGTTCACCAAAGTGGAGGTTGGGTTCTGCTTTCTTCTCTGTGTAAAAGTTTTCGTTTTTCTTACTTTTTAAAAACCACTTAACCCCAAGGTTAGTTTAGTGTCCCGGAGAGCCCCACACCCTCCCCGCAGGGCCCTCTTGGGTGGGAGTCTTGTTAAACTGGCAGGAACCAGCCGAACCCCGGCCCCCCCAGGGCGGTGGAGGAAGAGAAATGGCCCTTAGGTTAGCGAGGTTTGTCATTACCCATGACTGATGGGCTGCCTTGCAGTTCTCAGCTCTGCCTTCTCTTTCCTCAGTGAAAACCAGGACGAAAGACAAATACCGGGTGGTGTACACGGACCACCAGCGGCTGGAGCTGGAGAAGGAGTTTCACTACAGTCGCTACATCACCATCCGGAGGAAAGCCGAGCTGGCCGCCACCCTGGGGCTCTCCGAGAGGCAGGTGGGCACTGCCCTTCCCCCTCCCCACCTGGTCACTGCTTGGGGCTGGGAGCCGCGTGGGTAGAGTTAGAAGCCAGACTGCAGACTGAAGCAGCAGGATGGAGAGCATTTTCCTTCTGCATGCTTAAAAAGGAGAGAAAGAAAAGACTTTTTCCACCCGTAGTTGTCTTATTTGATAATGTTGAATATTTCTTTTTTAATTTTGAGGGGCCTGGATGATGCAAGAACAAACAGCAGTGGTTTAATACAGAATTCTATTTGGGTCACTGTACCTGGGAAAAAATTGGTAGACCCCAATCCCTGGCCATAAAAACTATTACTAGTTGGGTGAGGCTTGGCTTGTGAAATCCCTATATGGTCTTGGGGGGGGGGAGGCCAAATTCACAGCCAGGAAAGCCCACATTAAGTCTCATTCTCTGACCCAAAGTGAGGAATATTACTTTTTAGTTTAGTTTTGGGGGGCTGAAGGTTGTCATGTGAAGTCCATCCAGCCCTGGCTTCCTCTTGCTCGGTACAGGAAGGGCCTCGTGGCTTCTGTTTTCCTTGGTTTTGAGACTCTGAACTTTTCTAGTAAAGTTATAGATAAAGGCTGCTTTGGAAAGAAACCTGGGGAACAAGGTGAATGGGGGGAGGCTCTTTTCTCAGGGTGCTGAATTGGGCTTCGGAGGGGCTCCAGAGTTGGGCTGTTACGGAGATATCCCATGAAAGGCTGCAAGAGGGTCAGGGGTCCTTGCTTAAGAGAGGCACTTCTTTAGTTGGCAAGAAAAATAGGGATGCTAGTGCTGATACCACTTCTCCCCCTACCCACATCCTCTTTTTCACCGTCCTCTGTTTTATCCACCTGTCCATTTCCAGGTTAAAATTTGGTTTCAGAACCGCAGAGCGAAGGAAAGGAAAATCAACAAGAAGAAACTGCAGCAGCAGCAGCAGCAGCAGCAGCCTCCGCCGCCTGCAGCGCAGCCTCCCCAGCCACAGCCAGGTCCTCTGAGAAGTGTCCCGGAGCCCCTGAGTCCTGTGTCTACCCTGCAAGGTTCCGTGCCAGGCCCTGTCCCCGGGGTTCTGGGGCCCACCGGAGGGGTGTTGAACTCTGCTGTCACCCAGTGACCCACAGTGGCCTGCAGCAGCAGCAGGGCAATTCCAGACTGAGCGGCGAGGAGCATGGACTCTGCTTGAATCCTCAGGAGAGAGCCCTCCCCTCCCGCCTACAAATGTACACAGTGCACCAATTTATCCAGCTCTCAGAGGGAAAATGGGGGCCAGGAGTAAAGACAAGTAGGGTTGGGGGCCTCGATGAGGAAGACATCGTCCCAGATTTTGGCTTTTTTCCGTCTGACTGCCAGGAAGGAGACAGGAAGTGAGGACCACTGGGATTCTATGTAGTGCTGGCAGAAGCAGTGCTGACTAAACAGACCGGGCTCTCAGCCCCCCTTCTCCAGCTCGGTACCTCCCAAACCTTCAGGATGCCTCTCTGGTTGGAGCTGAGGGGAGAGGGGAACTCAGGGGAGTGCCAGTGCTTAGAGCCAAGATAGCTACTGCCTACTCACTGCCATCCAGTGACCAGCTGGCCCCTCCGGCTTCAAGGGCAGGCAAGATTTAAACTGCAGAAGTTAGAGACAGCTAAGATAGAAACCTGGACGGGCTAAGGACTGCAGGACCCCCAGGTCTTTGTCTTTCTTCTCTTGACTCCCCACATCAGAAAAGGCTTGGGTGGCGTATGTGCGGTGGGTGGTGTGAGGGGGCGGTGTTGGACTCTAGGCCTGACAAGGGGGCCCGGGGCTGGACCTTGTTTAGTAAACCTGTCACCAGAGCTTCTCTGGGCTGAATGTATGTCAGTGCTATAAATGCCAGAGCCGACCTGGACTTCCTGTCATTTTCACAATCTCGGGGCTGATGAAGAAGGGGAGTTGTTGATGCTGCTGTTTGAGCTGTTGGTCTGTGTAGCATCCAAGCCAGTCTTTAAAAAGCCGTCTGGATCTATGGGGAGAGAAGTGGTATGGTGAAGGGAAGTGGGGGGTGTTTGAACACAGTTAAATTGTTTTCTAAAAAGAAAAAAGATAAATGAGCTTTCCATACTTCAGATTCTGTATTTATTGTTTTCAATTTTTTTCCAGAATTATTATTTTTTTAAGAAAGGAAAAATCTTTTCTACTTGCCAAAGAGAATTAGCAAAATCAGGGCGGGGTGGAGAAGGTTATCTGGACAACCTCGTTTTACCCCGGAGCGTCAGAAGCCAAAAAAAAAAAAAAAAAGAAAGAAAAGAAAAGCAGGTGTGAGACCTTCCCTGCCCCCAAGCTTGAGCCCAGCCCTGAATTGTGAAATGTGTGGTTCCCCTGGGTGTGCCTTTGGGCAAAATGCACATCTGAATGGGCCGTTGCTCTCCAGCTGCAATGAGTTTTGGGGGCTGACGCGGGGGGGGGGGGTGTCACAGACCCCTTCATAACGTCTCATCGAATTCACGCCAAGGCAACTGCAAACATTCCTTCAACAGTGGTTTCCTTCTTCCAAGAATGCCCCACAGCCAGCTAGTTAAACATGAACACTGAGTACCATTATTTTATTTTCTGATTTCCCAGGGAATATGTCCACGAATATGGACGGTCTCCTATTAATGGCCAGGCATTGACGTGAGCCCTGTCTGGCTCCACCTCTTGCCCTGTCTGTCCCACGCATTTCCTTATCCCACCGCCCTCGTCCCACCTACCCCCATAAACAAGAATTCAAGAACCAGTATAAGAAGATCCTTTTAGTGATGGTTGCTTCTTATCCAGCTGATTCGCTGGGGACCTGGCTGTTGTCCTTGTGGTTCTTGGTTCTGGAAGCCGCTGAGCTGGCCACTCTGGGCAGGACTTCGCCCTCGACTTCAGCATTCCCACGTCTTTCGAGCCCCACTCGGCGCCTTCCCGGAGGAGGGAGGTGCGCTGAGGGCTGGGGAGGACGAGCAGAGCCTGGAGCCATGACCGCCCCCTCCTGCATCCCCCCGATTCCGTGGCCTTCCCGGGCGGCGCACTGCACTCCGGGGCTGGGAAACGGGCCCTGGTGGCTGAGCCCCCGAGGGCCAGGGCCGGTGCCGGGGAGAAGCCGGGGTGGGGTCTGCTGAGCAGGGGGGTGCCCGGGGGTGTCCAGGCGCCGCTAGGGGAGCCCGGAGCCCAGGCGGCCGCGCCCTCAAGCCCGCCTCCCCGCCGCCGCCGCCGCGGTTGCTACGCGTTGCTGTGAAACACCTGTCAATAAACCCTGTTTGGACACCGGAGCGAGAGCCCAAGGGTTGTTTGCTTAGTGGTTAGAGGTTCAAAAGTCGGCCTTGTCCTGCCGCGAGCGATGACAAGCTCTTCCTTCTCCCGACCCGGCCCGGCCCCGAGGCCGGCGGCGGGTGCTCTGCGCCGGGCGCTTCCGGGCAGGGAAGGGGCGCTCGGGTGGCTCCTACGCGCCGGGACCCGCTCCGGCCGCCCGCCGGTCCGCACAGCCGGGGAAAGACGCGCGGGCCCGTCGCGGGCCGCCGCGCTCCGACGCCGGCACGGCTCCCCTGAACCGAGCCCGGAATAGGCGCACGTGGCGCGAGTGGGCAGAGCAGCGTGGGGAGACCAAGCGAGGTCGGGACCACGATCCGCGGACTTGTATTCGGCGGGGTGACGGCCGGGTGCGGGCGCCCCTAGCGCTAGGCCCGCGTGGAGGACCCTGGGATCCCTCGCTCTCCAGCGCCCTACTCCGGGCTCGGGCCGCCAGAGGGCGCACGCGCTCCAGGAAGAGCGGGGCCGAGGCCTGGGCTCCACGCCGCCTCCAGAGCAGACCCGGAAAGGGACCCGGCTCTGACCCCGCTGGACGGTGCCCGCTCCTGCGCCTCTCCCACCCCAGCCGCTGCCAGACTCGGGTCGGGCGAGATTTCCCCACTCTTGCCGCGGGCCTTTGGAAAACAAAGTTCAACTAAAGACAGGTGCAGGAGATTGCTGGATCTTTTCAGTGTTCAAGAAAAGCAAATTTGGCGGAGGGGGGATATCCACCGCTCTAAAGGGTCTTTTTACACAGGATTCCTGTTTCCATAAAAAATTACATAGTTTGAGTATACTAATATATTCAACGACTGAGAACTCAAAATAAACAAGGAGAGGGGGTAGTACCAGCACTGTGCAACTCATGTAAAAAAAAAAAGTATATATGGAGAGAAATCAGCCTGAGTTTGTTTTTCTTTTCTGTGAACAATTCATGGCTTTACGGTATTCATCCACTAAAGTTAAGATGTACTACTGGTGAAGGCAGTAAAAGTTTCAATGATTTTAACTTTCTGGTAAGCCACCTACGCTAGTCAAGAAAACCAGTCTTAAATAGAAATCTAAACATATAAACGGCAATATTCTTGCTGTTATTCACGACTAGGAAAAAGTAAAAGATACTGAAATGAAGGAAATCTCAGCTGCAGAATCTTAAGAAGGGATTCCAACATGGTTTTTAGGGGCATTGTTTTCACATGGTTTTAGAGACAGGCTGCTATTTACAAGTTTAATGACCTTGGAGAGATCACAAGCTCTGAGCCACCATTTCTCATCTGTAATATGGAGACCAAATGAGGTAATGATAGAAGCATACACATATGATTAGATCTTGATAATTACAGCCGCTCCTTCTTTTTATCGAACCATCTTCTCTGCAAAGTGCTCAAGGGTCCTTCCAAAGAAAGTCGGAACAAGGATAAGGTCTCCAATCAGGATAGATTAACTCCATTCCCAGAATTGTTTCTGATGCATTCATTGCTTACTTCAAAATAGCCTCAAGTCTGTTTTCTCTGGTTTCCACAGTCTGCATGACATCTCACGTGACAAAGCACTAACATTCCAGATGTGAGGATGACTGCTGATCTGCATAGCTTACTCACCCTTTCATCTATCAGAAGATATGTCCCCACTTAGAGTTTTACTTAGGAGACAGGTCAGTTGAAGATGTAGTTGGGAACCTCTTCATAATCTATTAGGGCACTTTTAAAAAGTTTCTTTATTTTGAAACAATTTCCATCCAAGCATCTCAAAATCAATTCTATACTCTTTATTTTGGTATTTTAGGTATTTAAGTTAAAATTTAAATCATTTTCTTAAATCACTTTTGGACCATATAAACTTTCGATCCCCATAACTCTTACATTTAGTCATTTATCCCTTTGCCTTTTTTCTTTCTTCTCTGCTGTTCATATTTAATACGATGACTATGATTTAGGAAATTGAGCAGGTTTCATTGACAACTGGGATGAACCGAGTGATGCTGGGCCCAAACAATCTCTAAATTTACTTAGCTACAAATCAGAGAGAATACATCTTATATCACCATTTATTTTGAGGTTATGAAGTGGGATCAAGGGGGAAAATAACCTCTCAAATTCCAACAAGGAAAGGAGCATCTGTCCAGTACAGAGATTATACCAACATTCACCTTGAAGAATCAGTTTAGAGAAGGTGAAGGCAATTGCATAGAGAGCTTTGGCTGCTATGTCTCTAGTACCCAAACATTACATTTGTTTTAACAACAGTTTTTCCAAATTGGAATTTGTCATTAATCTCAGTGAATATAGATAATATCAACTAACTTGCCAGGGCCCCAAAGTAAAGCTATCAGTTTGTTCTTCTTTCTGCAGGATCCTGGCAATTCTGCCCTAGAGATCTAATCCGTAAACGAGAACACAACCAGTTTCAATTCACGAAGGAGAGTTCCCTGAGTTCAAATGATAAACAAACTGTTCCTTCACACACTCACATTTGCTTAAAAATAATATTCAGGTCCTGCTCTGGGTTTAGGTGTTCAGTATCTTATCGATATGAACCCAGGCATTCCTGCATTGTAATACTCGTGTTTTAATTCCTAGGACAGGAATTCTTTTCTAATCGTTCACGTGTTATCTCAGAACTTCCAGGATTGACAATCTGCTATCACAACACTTGGTATCTGCAGTGTGACAATAATAGGTTTTATACAAGCGGTAGTTGATAAATTCCTCTCCAACCTCAGGCAAGCAAACAATGAGAAACAATGTGAGAGCTAAAGTACAAATATACAATGACCTGTTGTGTAGCACTTAAATAATTTTGACTTATTCTTGATTAGTAGAATCAGCAACAGAGATTAAGTACCTAAACCACAGATTAGAAGTTGTTAAAAATGACCTGGGCAG